GTATTGTGCAGCGGTTTGCCGTGCAACCTGTGAGAAAGTGTATACTACTATCAACGTTTTTCCGAAAAATACTCTCCCCAAAATAAGAAAATTGACCAGAAACAGGTTAGAAACATAACGACTTTTAAATCATGACCAGCATCATTTGAACATTTCATGAATATTTGCTTGATTTGGGGTAGGCTTAGACAGGCGCGGATCCAGGATTTCTTAGGGGAGGGGGCCCAACTTTTTTTTTTTTTGCTCCCGAAAATTTGAAAATCGCGCCGGCCGAAAAGTCGCTCAGTGAGGGGGGGGGGGTACAGAGCACATTTTTTTTTTTTTTTTTTTTTTTTTTTTTTTTTTTGCTCCCGAAATTTGAAAAACGCGCCGGCCAAAAATTCGCTCAGTGGGGGGGGGGGGGGGGGGGGGGGGGGGGGGGGGAGGTAGTAAGCACATTTTTTTGGGCCCCCCTGGATCCGCCACTGGGCTTAGATCTAGACCTATGTTTTAGATTTTTAGGACTCTCTCCACGCCAGAGTTATGGGTCGCTGGTCAAAAAGTCTGGATATGATTCTGAACTAGTATAGTAGATCTACAGTATTGCTTGGAATAAAGTAGACACTCTCACACTGTGTCACGCATGACTGCATGTATTATCCGTCTTTGGTGTGACTTAGCAGTCCTAGAGCCCGAGGTCTAGAGTCTAGTGCCAAAACTTTCATCAGTTTGCTTTTCTTATTTTTCTGCTTTCTTTTAGTTTAGAGCAGTTGTATATTCGAGTTAGATTTCCCTTTAAAGCCATGCAGCCCACGAGTAGGCAAATGAGTAAACTTTTTTGCTTTAAATGACGGATGCCCCATGCCTAGACCGAAAACTTCAGTCTCTCTAATCGTCGGTTGTTCCACTGAGACTACGTCTGGCTCCACTAGACCTCCGATTATAGAGACTGAAGTCTGGGGACCTCTTTCTGTGAGGCACTGTACGGAACAAATGGTTCGGTTCGACCGGACCGCGATGAATGAGATATGCAACGAGATTTTCACTCTTTACATCCTCATAACTGCTGCAATTATAACACAAATTAAAAATAACATATATATAGCTTATTTGACTTACGATAGCTTGCTCATTTAGATCCTAAATTAATGATTAATCCGAGAAAGTCTCGTCGTCAACATTATCCGTCTTGGTTTTAGTTGATGAATATTCATTTTTTCTTTTCGAACGTCCAATAGCTACCGTAGCTACTTACGAGTCGGCCCGGCTTGACCAACGAACTCCCACGAAACGAGTGCTCTGATTGGCCATTGGCTATGTTTTGGTAGGTGGACCCGGAAATATATCGGCCGCCGGGTAATATTTCGAATGCATGAACGTACTGCTTCGCGGTTCTGAGATACAAATTGGATAATTCATATAAGTAAGTCCGTAAATTATCCATTTAATATTAAGTTATCAAATTTTGATAACTGTAATTAGGACAAATGACATACCGACCTAATTTACATCTGATTTAGAAATCAGGAAATTAGATCTAAATAAAGAAAATCGGGGAGAAAATGTCGTGGACGAAAATATGTACATAGCCACCCCCACGGTACGAGATCTCTGGGTTGCCATCTGTTTTGGGGAATGACAACAAATGTCAGTTTTATTAAAGAAATGACCCAAATCAGATGGTTATTGCTGTCTACCCCATGCCATGCATCCCATCAATCAAGACCCTACATAAAAATACATATATGGGATCATACATTTCAAATCTTGTCAGCAAGTGTTGAAAGTCCAAGCTCACTATCACTGACATACATTACAGTAACATAGAGTCTACATATCAACTTTTCAGAACGAAAAAAGTAAGAAGTATAGATTTATGTACTTTTTGTAAATAAATTAGGTAATTCTAGGACTTACCCATACTGTAAATTTGCAGGAGAAAACGAGAGTATTCAGGAGGATGATACTTCATGCAACGGCTTTTTCACTCTGAATTAAAATACATTACATACACATCGCATAGTGCTTAGTCCCCTACGCCTTGCCTTGAGTACTGTATGTACCTGTACACACACGTACGTACACAATCCCGTTTGAAATAGCTAGATGCGAGCATGTATAGTCTTGATCGATATTGCAGACCTTGGTGCGTGTTAAAGGGATCCGGTAACTTTGTCTCAGATTCTGAAAACATATTCTGGATTTAGCTCATGATGCAATGATAATTATAAACCTTTAGGTCAGTCAGGAACCCCGTGACTTTTACAAGCCGATCGCCCGTCTGATTATCAAGATATTTTTGATTGGAATTACAAATTTTGAAAACCGTTCGCCTGACGGTTTTCATAACACTACAGTCTATTGGGGAAAACGAGTATGGTAAAACCGGTCACTCAAAGATTTTTTATTTTTGAGGCACTTTTTGATCATTTTGAAGCGCAATTTTTTAGGGCTTCAATATTACATCATATCACTGACACTGATAACACGTAAGGCCGTGTATCTCAGATTTAACATTGTTAAACGATCCCTTTAAGATGGTGCACAATCTGTAAATTGGTCCACTATTAATATAATGACTAATGACATTTGAGGGGGGGGGGGGGGAGTTAATTGTTCCCTATTTTCAATTCTGACAATTGCCCTATTTACTTTGACTTATGCTCATATTAGATGTTGTAGTCTTTACCCTATTATTATCTTGGAAAAAAATTAGGTTATTAGCATATGGGCGTAAATCCTTACGTAATACCTATTGTTCAGGGTGGGATGATCTATCATCCCCCCTGAACAATAGGTATTACGTAACGATTTACGCCCATGGTTATTAGAGACGTCATAATGACGTCGTTATAACGTCTTTCTTACGACAAAAAATATCTTGGAAAAAAAGTCTTTAAAAGAGGTCACAATGACGTCGTAATATTGGAAAGTTAGTCTTTTAAAGACGTCGTAATGACGTCGTCGATACGACAACAATTATCTTGGAATAAATAGTCTTTAAAAGAGGTCATAATGACGTCGTAATGACGTCGTCAATACGACAACAATTATCTTGGAAAAAATAGTATTTTAAAGACGTCATAATGACGTCGTTATCACGTCGTCAATACGACAACATTACATTGGAAAAATTAGTCTTTTAAAGACGTCATAATGACGTCGTCAATACGACAAAAATTAGCTTGGAAAAATAGTATTTTAAAGACGTCAAAATGACGTCTTTATGACGTCGTTTATACGACAAAAATGATCTTGGAAAAAATAGTCTTTTAAAGACGTCATAATGACGTCGTCGAGAAGACAAAAAATATCTTGAAAAAATTGGTCCTTTAAAGACGTCATTATGACGTCGTTATGACGTCGTCAATGCGACAAAACTTATCTTGTAAAAATAGTCTTTTGAAGACGTCATAATGACGTCGTGATTACGTCGTCCATACAAAGACGTCAAAAATGATCTTGGAAAAAAATAGTCTTTTAAAGACGTCATAATGACGTCGTCGAGAAGACAAAAAATATCTTGAAAAAATTAGTCCTTTAAAGACGTCATTATGACGTCGTTATGACGTCGTCAATGCGACAAAATTTATCTTGTAAAAATAGTCTTTTGAAGACGTCATAATGACGTCGTAATTACGTCGTCAATACAACGTACGACGTGTTTACCACTTTACGACCAATTTATGACGTCTTTAAGACGTCAGTCTGCTATAGTCTATCAAAATGTACAAAACGTAAAGACTGATCGAACTAACCCACTGCATAAAACCTCAATACAGTAAGTAGCTGAATATTATGTGAACGGGTATCGAAGCCTTCTGAGGTTGTCTGCAATATCATTGATAGGCGATAACGCTTGACAAATTCAAAATCGTTATAGATCTAGATGTGAAACGGGTCCCCTCTCTCCACTATTACGGGACGTTCGGGAGCTAGTCTTCTCATCAACTCTTCATAGCGATCTCTTTGTCGCAGAAAATCAAGCTGGTACGCCATGTTTAGTGTGCATTTAGTCCAGACCTAAACTACCCCCTGCGGGAAACTAAAAAATGGGGAATTTAGTTCGCACTTTAGTTCGGGGTCAAGGTGAAAACTGGTATCGGAATACCGAAAGTTAAGCCTAGCTTAAGTTTGCAAGTTAATACGCCGCTAATCTGGACTTTAGTCTCAGACTAACTTAGTACGCGCTATCAGAATACCACCCTGTATTGCCAAATAAATACATGCATTTTTTTTCTTGTGAAGGGGCCTTGCATAGGGGCAAAGATAAGTTTTTACCCCTCCGTTTTTGTATATTTTGTATTCTTCAATGAACTCGTGCGGTGTCTACTCATCGCGCGATCCCCAAACTACGGTCGAAAAGAACGGACGCGGGGCCGGGGTACAGAATTATTTCTCAGCTGATTTCGCGACATCGAATCGGCGGACTAGAATTCTATGGTAAGCTCGGGCTCCGGTACGGTACGGTCGAGTGGGCGTGCTCCGCTCCCCCCGCCCCCCCCCCACTCAGTGTTATTTAGGGTACGCATATGCGTGTTCCACGCGACCCCCCCTTTTTAGCAAAAGTCCGGTGTGTAAAGTCAATACGGGTCGACCTTTTTCTTTTGTTATACGAGCCTTTTTCAGCACCCCCCCTTTTCAGCAAAAGTCCGGTGTGTAAAGTCAATACGGGTCGACCTTTTTCTTTTGTTACGAAAGGACATTTTGGTAACACGCATGCGGTACGTTCGTTCTCGGAGTGGGGGGGGGGGGGGGGGCGGGTGCTCCTCAAACCCTAGGCGCGCGCTGCCAGCCGGATACGTGTAAATCATTCTGTTTGACTTGCTTGGAGCGTGCATGTATAGAAACATTTCATTTGAAGTGAAGTTGGTTCGGCTCAAGGACACCGGACATGGCGGCCGTCAAAGGGAATACGAGGGGATTCATATGGAATTTCTGCTTTGGATTATTCTTCGGATGTTGTATAACTTACGCCACAGTGAAATTTTCAAGGCTGAACGAGCTTAGATCTCCGCATGTGCAAAAATTTGATTCAGTCTCAAACAACGGGGAAGCGCTGCGGCAGCCCGATGGACATGTTATTGTGGACGACACGAACCGAGTGTTAGAAAGCGAACTGAAACATTTTCAAGATTCTCACCATCATAATTTTGTGGGTAAGACTAAGACTAACACGAGAGTGATATGACGGAAGATTTGCTCTAGAGTAACTGAGCCCTTAGAATCTGTGATTTCTTAAAGATTGAATGACTTCTTTTGTTTATTTAGCTTTAAAGGAAAAGACCAGACTTCATAGTCTAGACCTGCGATTGAACTGTGAAAGAAACGTTGTGGAATCGATCAGAAAAAATTAATCATCTAGCATAATTAAGTATTGGTGTGTAGATCTAGATTCTACTGCAAGGTTCTGAGGTTCTGGAATCATCAAAATGATAAATGATCATCAAAATGAAAGTTACAAGCACTGTACACCAAACTACGCGACACGTGCGCGATATCTATTCGGTCCAGATAGAATAATTTACCAAATAATATGCCTAGATCTAGACCCTATATCAATTAGATCTAGGTCTAGTAGGGTCTAGATCTAGGCGGTTTCCCGGCAAAATTTGTATCACGTATTAGATCTAGTCAAACATATTCTTTCACATGATTGGTGATATTAGAGCTTCCATTTCATTTTGAAAGGGGGGGGGGGGCGTTTCCAAAACTGCATGGTCTAGGTTATGAATTGTTATGAATATGAAGAGAATGCTCAGTCAGACATTAATATTAAATGACCGTCCAAATCTAAAACTAAAAGTTAAAACGGTCTCACTTTGTCACAAGTCACAACCCTTGATATCAGATAGAAACTGAAGCTTTCGTTTCGGTCGAGTGCTCAGTGCAGTGTCAGTTTTTTGTTGTGGGTCGGTCTTTTTTTCAAGACAATGTGCCTCCTTCAGGCTTCAATACTGAAGATTCTTACAGATGCCGTATACAATGTACCTGTACATGTACATCAACTCGGCCTGATTGGGATGTGCAGGTGGACGACCAGGGTTCGCCCTACTCTTATACGAATAGTACGGTGGGTTCTTAATGGCAAGGATGGTGACTCTCGTGTACACAGGGCCTCCATTTAACGTCCTATCCGAAGGATAGAGTGTTTTCCACTACCTGTAGGGTTATGTAGCCTGCGTCTATGAAAAAAAGGGAGTGGCACGTTAACACACAAGGCAGGCTTCAGTCGTCCGTCTGGGTGGGTCACGGTGGGATTCGAATCCGAGATCTGTGGTTTAACAGGCAGACGCTTTACCGACTGAGTCAACTCGCCTCCCTATTCAGTGGTCTATTCATTATCATAATTCATATGGCAATAAGTCAAATTTGACTATCACTATCACCATTCACCAACTGATTTTGTTTTTCTTCTAAATATGAACTTCATGCCCCGTCTTACTCAAGACAAAAATCCAATTGAATCCCCATTGAATGTCCCCATTGAATCCCAATTGTCAATTTGGAGTAAATGGAAAGTGAAACAATGGGTACCCATTGAAACCAATTGGCAATTGGTCCCCATTGAAACCAACTGGCAATTGATTTTAATGGGGACCAATTGCCAATTGGTTCTAATGGGGACCAATTGCCAATTGGTTTCAATGGGTACCCATTGTTTTACTTTCCATGTACTCAAAATTGCCAATTGGTATTGAATTGGGATTCAATAGGGGCATTCAATGGGGATTCAATTGGTAAATCGATCCAGTTAGAAGAACCAGTGATAAATTACTGATACTTCATAATCGATATTGGCAACTGTCCACTAATTAGGTACATGTACATGTATATTCCAATCTCATTTGCATTAACTTCATCACATAGATCATTTGAAGTGAATTCAAGAGTTACGTTTACAGTGACACAGGCTCGTACACATATATATACTAAATATGCATGTTGTTTCTTGGTTAGTAATCATATAATCAATATATCTATTGCTAAAACGTGAATGTAATTGTAACATGATTAGACAAAATAATCTATTGGTTAATAATTGCCGAAGGAAAATAGAATAGAACAAATCATGATAAATTTATTTTTCTGTGACACGTGTAAAGATAATGAATATTCATGAGATTCCTAGATTTGTTGGTTTCTATTGGTTTCTGTTGATTTCTATTGGTCCTATTGGTCCTATTGTTTTTTGTTGGTCTTATTGGTCCTAATGGTTTCTATTGGTCCAATTGGTTTCTATTTAGCATTGGTCCTATTGGTTTCTATTGATTTCAATTGGCCCTATTAGACTTTAATGGAATTTCAATTGGTTTCAATTGGACCAATTGAAGTCCAAATTAAGGCCAATTGGTCCAATTGAAACCAATTGGGGACCCATTAAAGTCTAATGGGGCCTAGGCCAATGGGGCCAATGTGTCCAATTTGTCCAATGGGGCCAATCTGGACCAATTGAAACCAATTGGGGACCCATTAAAGTCTAATGGGGCCTAGGCCAATGGGGCCAATGGGGGCAATTTGTCCAATGGGGCCAATCTGGACCAATTGAAACCATCTGAAGTCCTATTAAAGTCCCATTGAAACCTGTTAAAACCTATTGAGACCAATTGGAACCAATTGGAACCAATTGAAACCAATTGAAACCAATTGAAATTTCAATTGGTGTTCAATTGGTTTCAATTGGATTTTAGTCTTGGGATATAAAGAGTTACGATTGATCCGACTCAATGGCATGTCCTCCAATCAATCTCAATACAAGTTAATACAGTCTCCCATCTCTTGTACTGTACATACATGTACAATGATACATGTATAGTTGTGATGGATATCAATCACAACAAGTTTAGATTAATGATTAATCGCAATGTTTACAAGACAGGGCCCAGATCTACACCAGTTAAAACACATACCGGTAGTACTAGTAGTGGGCTCTCATGGGGAATTTGACACCATTAAGGTGTTTACCTATAAATATGAACAGCTGTTGGCACTATAGTGACTGTACTTTCGTATCCACTTTTGACCCGTAACTCCGGCATGGAGCCTACTAAAAGTAAAGCATACCAAAAATCAAATAAATGTTCATCATTTATTCAAATAATGGTCACGATTTAAAAGTCGTTATGTTTCTTACCTGTTTCGTGTCAAGTTTCTTATATCTTTTGGAGTATTTTCCTAAAAACCAAGTCATTATAAACAATATACACTTTCTTACAGGTTTCATGGCTAACCGCTGCACAATTACAATACAATTGCATACCGTATGGTATACCGATGAAGGGGTGCGTGAAGTTAGTGACCGTAATAATGGTCATCGTCGTCATAAGGTGGATTACTAATAATAGGGATCTGAGATTACAGTCAATAACTTATGGTACAGTATGCAATTGTATTGTAATTGTGCAGCCGTTTGCCGTAAAAACCTGTGAGAAAGTGTATTATAATGTCTTCGTTTTTAGAAAAAATAACAAAAAAAACAAAGAGATAGGCAAATGTATGAATAGAAACAAACAGGAAGACGTGAAAAGTTATCATGAGGAAATGATAAAAGGATATAAAAAAAAAAGGGATTATTATGGAGAAAAAAATAGAAAGGGAAATGATAGAATGATAGAAACACAGAATAACATGGAAAGATAGAACGCTATTAGATATACTGTATGGCAGAAGGATGAAAACAAATACGTGTAAATTATGAATTAAGATCTAGAAGATATTTGAAATAGAGAGGAAATACATAGGAAATTAGTTGAGTTTTGTACAGTGGTGTACAAAAGTTCACAGAATAACATAGAAAGATAGAACGCTAATATGACAGAAGGATGAAAACAAATACGTGTACATTATGAATTAAGATCTAGAAGATATTTGAAATAGAGAGGGAATACATGTACATAGAAAATCAGAAGAAAATATGAAAGAAGAGGTAGTAGCTCTATATAAGAGATCACAGGAAATACAGGAATATAAGATGGAAGAAAGATTAAAAAAATAACATTAGGAAAGACATAAATTGTTACATCACTTGTTCTTTCAAACTGCAGGTCAGGACGCCCTTGCACAAGTTCTTTACGACAAGGTACGTGTTTTGTGCTGGATAATGACTGGACCTCAAAACATTGATTCAAAGGCCGTTCATATCTTTGCCACGTGGGGGAAGCGTTGCAACAAGGTCATATTCATCTCTTCTGAACCATCGGACAAGGTCCCCATCGTGAAGGTGGCAACTAAAGAAGGGCGCGACTTCCTCTGGCAGAAGACCCGAGGAGCCTTCCAGCACATCTACGACAACTTCCTGGACGACTATGACTGGTTCCTGAAAGCAGATGATGACACGTTTGTCATCGTGGAAAACCTACGCTACTTCCTGTCATCGTACACCCCCGATACGTCGATTTACTTTGGCCACAAGTTCAAGTGCTTCGTCATGCAGGGTTACATGAGCGGAGGGGGCGGTTACGTGACCAGCAGAACCGGTGTTAAGAACCTGGTGGAGATTGCCTTTAAGGATCCTTCCACATGTTGGGGCATGGACAAGAAGGGTGGTGCGGAAGATGTAGAGATTGGCAAGTGCTTTGAAAATGCTGGTGTTGTTGCAGGGGATTCGAGAGATTCCTTGGAAAGAAATCGTTTTCATCCGTTCCAACCTGAAGCCCATCTTGATCCTAAAGGCCTCCCGGATTCTTTTTGGTACTGGGATTATATCTATTATCCACGTAATGAGGTAAGTGATTTTCACGAGGTAGTTAAAACCTAATAGCTTGTTTATAGTCTTATAGATATGACGCAGCAAAAGGAACATCCCTAACCTCTGCATGTATAGAATAAAGAGGTACCGGTACTCACAATTGCATGAACAGTGCTAACGCGTTTTTTAGTATAATGACATCAAGTGTAATACGTTTCACATTTCTGTATTTCATAACACAGATATCAAGTGCTGCATACACGCAAGTTCTTTGTTGTGTGCAGCTGCTATTCATTTACACGTTAAAAGAAGTGGCAGCTTTTTTTTGGTGGTGGTTTAATGTGCCATATCTGAAGTTCTGAACAAGCCTCAAAAGGGTTCATCTCACTGATGTTGGTAATAACACTCCCATTAACGGCTAATTAACACTATTCATAAATCTGTGAGTACCTCATTATTCTATACATGCAGAGGTTAATAGCGATGTAGTTGGCCGATGTTGCTTTGCCACCTTTTATATGAAGTAATCTCGAGTGATTCCCAGGCAATCCCAGCAATCCTGGAAATCAAGGAAAATCTGGAAAATGAGTTCCCTTTTTACAGTCAGCTATAAATAGTCGGGACTGTGTCAGAGACTGAGAAAACTCACATAAATCAGGAAAAAGTCAGAAATCAAATGGACCCAAAAGAAAGTAGTAGACAGTCTCTTTTATTCTGTCTTTAGTTAATAAGACACATAACAACTGGATGCAGATGTTACAAATTGGTAAAATGATTCTGAAATATTGAAACTCCAACAGGGAAAATAATGGGAAAATCAGAGAAATCGGTAATAATAGTTTGTTCTTATTTAGCGCTTTTCAGGACCGAAGACCCTCTCAAAGTGCTTTACAGATACATGTATATTATTACCCCGGTCATCTGATTCAGGCTTACCCGCACACAACAATGCATGCACATTCTCCACTCCATAGGGAGCGTTTTAGCCAGGAGTAAATTGGTTGAGTTCGGACGTGTGCTGGTGGTGCTCCGGTAAAGCGGTCCATCCACCTGCTTTCCGGGAAGCAATTAATAATAAAAAATATATCTTTTTCAAAAGCTCAGTGTATTGAGTCTTTTGGGATCTTTGATTTTTATTTTGGATCATCATTTTATAGTTTTATCATCGTTTTTTAAATCTTAAATTTGTTTTTTGGAAAAGGATTATTATTTCAAATCATCATAGCGTTGTTTTTGTCATCAAACTTCAAAGTCATAGTAACAGGCGTATACGCTGGGAACGCATCCAACAAGTCTTATCAACGCGCAGCGCAACAAAGTCAGCTGTGGCTCAATTTTCAATTGTGACGTCATCAGAGTTGTCTTCGTGACGTCACCTGAATATCCTTTACTTGAATATATATGCTAAGATATGCACATTTATGTTACTATTAATATGAAATAATATAAATAATATAAATAATTACATATTAATGGATTTGTGTAGATATATATATCCATGTATGCATGTTATAGATGTATGCATTTTGTTACGCTTTGTACTGATGTGTGCGTTGGGTGTGTTTGAGTGCTGATAATATTAATATTATTTAGTTAACAATTCGGTATTTATTGTTTTTTATTTTTCCTGTTTTACGTTAATCATAATTTGCTCTTGAACCGGTTGGGTGAGTGGTACATACGCGGCATTATTTTACTTGTAGGCTCTGTATAAGCTTGGCTTGTTAGAGCTTTTGTGAGTAGTGTGCCGCGGGGTTTCATATCCTTAAACTGCTGGCGAACAGAGCAACAAGACCAAGCTTTATAATTGTTAGGTTTATCCAATAATAGTTTGTCCAATAATGCCGAGTTTGTGCCACGGAACTTAGTCGGACATTTCGATTATATTCTTTTTATGTCATACGTCTTTATCTTTTTTATATTTTAGTCTACCTTGCTGATACCTCCTCAAAATATATATGATAGACTATCATTAATTCTGCTGCATTACCATATATGGTTCATAATATATAGTATTATATACATAATTTTTGATATACATTTTTTTTCTTTCTTTCTTCCCCGTAGCATGAGAGTAATTTTAATTGCTTCATTCTTGTAACTAAGTGAAATGTTATTCGTTATTCTATAAATGTGTTAAGTGGGGGCACGCAACAAGAGTCCTATCTCGCACCCCGGGGCAACGTGTCTGACACAGCCGGTTGTAGCAACTACTTCGAAGATCAAGATTAAGATTAAGATTGAGAATAATAATAATTTAGACTTAGACTTAGAGTAATATTAAGATTACGATTAAGATCAAGACCAACATAACATAATGAAAATGCCCAATAGAGCAGCATCCCAGAGCAATTCCGCTGAGGGACCCCTCTCACGACCGGCCCTGACGGTGCTATCATGGAACGCCGAAGGTATATCAGATGCCAAGGAGGAAGTCCTTGCACATATGTGCAAACAAATGAACTGCGATGTGCTATGTCTTCAAGAGACTCACCGCGGCAGCGACAATCCACGGCCCAAGATCAAGGGTATGAAGCTTGCCATCGAGCGGCCACATCGCCAATATGGAAGTGCTATCTTCACGAACGAGAAGATCAGACCGGAATCTACATCCTATACCCACAATAACGACATCGAAGTGCTGAATGTGACAATCAAAGGACTAACGATCTCCTCCATCTACAAGCCACCAAACATAAGTTTTTCGTATCCTTCCACCACTACCAATAGGCATATTGTAATTGGCGATTACAACAGCCACAGCACGCAATGGGGGTATGATACCACTGGAGATGATGGAGCACTAGTTGAAACATGGGCCCAAAACAACGACCTAAAACTAATCCACGATCCAAAGCTCCCAAAGTCTTTCGCCAGTGCCCGCTGGAAGAGACGTTACAACCCGGATCTAGTTTTCTGCAGCAGGCTGCTTGCTCCCACCAGTCGTAGGTTTGTAGCTGAGCCGATTCCAAGATCCCAACACCGACCCATCGGCATTCAACTGACTGCAGTTATCACACCAAACAAGACCCCGTTCAAGCGCAGGTTCAACTTTGCTAAGGCAGACTGGCCTGCTTTCACCGAACACCTTGATCATGCCCTAACACATCTCCCTGCAGATCCAAAGAACTATGAATCCTTCATAGATATAGTCAAGAAGGTGTCACGTAGACATATTCCAAGAGGCTGCCGCACGACATACATTCCAGGCATCGATGAGGAATCAAGTCAGCTTCTGGCAAACTACACCACAGCCTACGACACAGATGCCTTCTCAGAGGATACCATCAACCTTGGAGAAGAGCTTATATCAAGGATATCTCAACGACATAGGCAGATGTGGCAGCACATGATTGAAACAACAGACCTAAGACACAGCAGCAGGAAAGCGTGGGCCACCATACGCAAGCTCGGAATTGACAGCACCAGAGCTCAACAGCATTATAATGTTACGGCTGACGAAGTAGCAAATCAGCTGTTGAAAAATGGAAAGGCCCCCAAGACGACTAATTCACACAGGCACAAACTACCTGGAGTTGACCAGAACATGTCTCTTTTCACAAGACCTATTTCTGAAGAAGAACTACAGAAAGGTATCTCCACGCTACACGTCAACAAGGCGGCAGGCATCGATGACATCAGATCGGAGCAGATCAAACACATGGGCTCTGTAGCACAGAAATGGTTGCTAGACATGTTTAACAACTGCATCGAGAACACCTGTGTCCCAAAACAGTGGCTCCGAACCAAAGTCGTCGCTATCCTCAAGCCAGGAAAGGACTCAAACGAAGCCAAGAACTTTCGACCGATCTCGCTCCTGTGCCAAACATACAAGCTGCTTGAACGCCTTATTCTCAACAGAATTGGGCCTCACGTTGACAGCCAACTGAACTGTGAGCAGGCAGGTTTCCGACCAGGAAAATCCACCACGGGACAACTTCTCAACCTGACCCAACACATCGAAGACGGTTTTCAGAACAACCTCATCACAGGTGCAGTATTTGTGGATTTATCTGCGGCTTATGACACTGTCAATCACCAAAGGCTACAGACAAAACTTCATGACATCACAAATGACCTCAAACTCATCAGATTCATTCAGAAGATGATGCAGAACAGACGCTTCTTTGTCGAACTTGATGGGCAGAAGAGCAGATGGCGGAAACAGAAAAACGGTCTCCCCCAGGGTGGCGTCCTGGCGCCAACACTCTACAACATCTACACTGCTGACATCCCTTCAACAGAGAACACTCGAAACTTCATCTATGCAGATGACACCTGCATCACAGCCCAGCATAGTACCTTCGAAGCTGTTGAACTCCATCTCAACACAGCGCTCGCAAGCCTTTCGGAGTACTACAGAGCAAACTACCTACGGGCAAACCCATCCAAGACTCAGGTGTGTGTTTTCCACTTGAAGAACAGGGAGGCAAAGAGAGAACTGAAGCTAAAGTGGAACAATGTGCAACTTAACCACTGCGAGCATCCAGTTTATTTAGGTGTAAAACTCGATCGTACTTTATCATTCAAGAAACATATCGAGAAGACAATAGGCAAAGTAGAATCTCGAAATGCCATCATCGGGAAGCTAGCATCTTCACACTATGGCGCTGACCCCAAAACTGTACAAAGTGCAGATGTTGCTCTATGCATGTCATCCGCAGAATATGCTTGCCCAGTTTGGAGCAGATCAGCCCATGTGAAGAAGCTTGACACCACACTCAATAACACTTATCGAAAGATAACAGGCTGCCTGAAACCAACAAAAGTTGAGGAGATATATCACCTCGCTGGCATTGGATCTCCTAACCAAAGGCGCACTAACACCTGCCTAAAGGAACGGATGAAGCAGGCGACAGATGACAGACACATGCTACACGGATACTTACAACCCCACAAACGACTTATATCCCGACACAGCTTCCTCGATTCTGTCCCACCACCTGAACAGAATCCTCCACCATCAGCCAAGCCCGTACTCATCAAAGGTCTTAACCTGAAGTGGCCGGAGTGGCAATGCATAAATCGAATGCGGACGAGAATGGGGCGGTGTAAGGTCAATATGGCAAGATGGGGCTATGCCCATGAAGGAGATACTCTCTGCGACTGCGGAGAGACTCAGACGATGGACCACCTCTTGCAGTGCGGCGGAACGGGTTGCACAGATGAAGACCTGTCCCTTGTTAATGAAACGGCCATTGCAGCAATCGAGCGATGGAAGAACTTAATTTAATTTAGTTTACTTCTAATTAAGGAACTTTACATAACTATCTTGATCTAAGGAGACACGAACGAACGAGCCAGGAGTCATTGTTACAAGCGCACACTGGCTAATCTATTAACCACATTAGCTTTTCGCATCCAATGGGGTATGAAATGCTTAAAACCCTGTCACTCTGATATCATGATATTGCAGTATTGCCCCATCCATCTACACATCATTTTTAATTTTTTAATATAAATTCTTCATCCTGTCTGCAGGGTTTTGAAGGATGCTGTTCAGATTACTCTATAACCTTTCACTACATTCCACCTGCCGCTCTGTACAACCTGGAATACCTTGTTTATCATCTGCGTCCCTTCGGTGTCGGAACGTACCCATGTCCAGCCGATGTACCTAAAGAGATTCTTCAAGAGGCGCGTTCCAGGCAGCAATTGCCGCAATCGCAAGAACAGCCTCTGGATGATCAGGAGAGGAAACAAGTGGAACAAGGGAAAGAAAAGTCAAGCCAAGAGAAACAGCGGGATGAGGCTCAGGAGAAACAAGAGAGCCAACCAAAACAAGAAAAGGAAACAAACTTTGATAATGGAAGGACGGACCTTGAAAAACCAAAGGAAACGGAAGAAAAACCTGTAGAAATAGAAAAAGAAATTGTAGATGTGTTAAAAAATGAAACGAAGAATGTTGGAATAGAAGATAAAAAGGACTCTGTTAGGTGATCAAGGATTTGTAAGTGAGATTATTAATAAATTATTGATTTGAATCTAGCTTAGATCTTTAAAATATTTATTGTATTGCAAAAGCACTGTTTTCTTGCAAAATCTACTAGCATTTCAGATCAAAAAGCAATATTCCGGTATCCACTACCTATTTGTGGTGCAATTGCTATGCACAACTCAGCAATGTACATGTATATTCATGTCATGACTTCTGTATTTAAAGTTCTTGCATAAACTCATGGTAAAACAAGTGTTGTTTTTCTCAGAACGCCTGAAATTTTGCGACAAAACTGTTTGATTATACTGTAGGTGTATGTGTAGACAGTATATCAATCTGTGATTCTTTCATTTTCAGACTTGTTTGTATTCAAATTGATTTGTTCATGGAAAATGGGGATTGGTGTTGATTCTAGGTAGAGTTGTTTGCAGAGTGTAGGCAACCACAGAGCTGTGATTTGACCTTCAAATCAATATTAACAAAGTCAATGGGTATTACGAATTCGATCAAATTTTACATTGAGTTCCAATGAATTTTCATTTGTATATAGTCTGCATATAAATATAGTATATGAACAGTGTTAATAGAGGCTGGTTCACGAGTGGTGTTATACTCAGCAACAGATTTTAATTTTGAAGCAACCGTTTTGAAAAAAATTCATCAAAAGTTGCTCATGTGTGGGTATACAGAGGGCAGCACACTGAGCCAACAGGTATAACGCTCCCTTGCGTACTATTGTCCCTTTATGCGTACGTCCGTACGGGAGCGTAATACCTGTTGGCTCAGTGTTCGTCAAGTTGCCTACTTCATGAATGACTATACCCATGCATATAAACATCTTTAACTTACAGGTTCAAATTCATTCTCAACTAAAATTAATTATGAAATTTTAGTCATGAAATTGGTTTCAAAATGCATCTAAATATGGCTGAGATGGCACCAAAAAGCATATAAGAATCCCATCTAGCTTTTCCCCCTTCCAGGGAACCAATCACAAAGGACTTTGTGCATTGTGCTAATCATGTGTGCACAAGTTCCCATTCCTCCAAAATTTCAATTTGTTTGTTTGCATTTTTTTTATTGTGGAGTTGATCACCCTGGTAAATATGAAAACTTGCTGAGCCGAAACTAGAAACACTGATAAAATGCCAACACATGTTTGCCATGCCAAGGGGTTCTTCTTTTGATAGCCCAATCAACTTGTACCCATATCCATAAAACTTTAAAGGTATAGACCAGTTTTGGAAACGCCCCCCTCTCCAAAAAATAAATGGAAGCTCTTAATACCAATCATGTGAAAGAATATGTTTTGACTTATACGTGATGATACAAATTTTGCTGGGAAACCGCCTAGTAATTGATTTGGTAAGGCGAGGCGTCAAAAATAAATATACCAGCCAGCGGCAGCTAACTGCATTTGTGCTTCCTGGCTGCATTTTTTAAATTAGCTCAGCCGGCTACCGCTGGCGGTAGGAAATGGCATTCAAAAGCATGCGCCGGCTGCCGCCTTTCGAATGGAAACCGAGCCTCAGATCCCAGCCTGGCGCTAGCCGGCTGGGTTAATAAGTGAAAAATAATTGCCCCAGCCAGGCTTCGGCCGTAATTGCAGCCTCGATGCGCCAATACGTGAGGCGGCAGCCTGCTGGTATCGATATTTTTGACGCCTCGCCTAAATTATCATATCTATCCGGCATGGATAGATATAGGGGAGTCCCATGTACATCTTTCTGTGTACAGTGCTTGTAGCTTTACCAAGACTAGGCCAAATTTCTTATCATTTTGATGATTCCAGAACCTTGCAGTACACACCAATGCAATCACATGACCGGGACTGGTTTATACCTTTAAGCTACCGGTAGTTGTAAACTAATTACATAGGCTATAGTCCATACTCCATAGTGGACAGGCAGACACTGCCTCTACATGTGTACCTCTTCTTCACATGAACAAGGTGCTATTCATAGTGGAACACAAATATTTATCGTTGAGGCTTGTCTTACAAATAATAAAAAATATTGCTCTCCCTGTGATCGCAATGAAACAATAAAATCATTGAGCAAGGTTCATTTTCATAAATCATTGAGGTCTGACCTACACGTATTTAACAATTATATTCGATTGAGTTTTAAAATAAACAAATGAGCAATTTAAGATAGAGTAATTAAAGTTATTGTTATCGTTATGGCCAAGGTCTGACCAAGCCTTTATTCTCTAGGCGCATTTTTACTGTCAAATACCTCATGTAAAAAAATTGTGATGTTTTGCGCTCCCGTTTACACTTGTGCGGAAACATCACCGACTGAAAGCTTTAATGTTTTGGTTGGTAATGCGCATGTGCGGTCTTGCCGATGCAAAATGCCTCTTCGATCAGCTGTTTTTACGCTGTGGCTGCTGCAGTCCAAGGACGACAGCTACAAGTGTATCCCTGCTCCTAAAGTCACGTGACAAACCTGTGATGTTTCAGCTGCCGCGAGTGTTTATACTCATCAAACATGCCAAAAAATCACACTTCGGTTTGGAATGTTTCGGGGTTGGCATTTTTGCCGGTAAAGCGTAGTTGCCTTGGAAATATCACTGAAACATCAGGGTCAGGCTCTGATATGGCATTTTGGGCGTGTTTGGATGCAAGTGTAAATGCCCCTTCTGATACATTTTTAGAAGTTTTTTCAGTGAAAGTTGGCAGAAAACAGATCTTTGATGTTCATCGTAAATTTGGTCAGGCACAATTTTTGGTCATTAACACATGTTAAATCTTAGAAGTTTCATTGCAATTGTTTGGGTTAACAGATGTTCAAATCCAATTAATAGCCAAGGTAACTCACGTATGCCAATACTTTCTGAAATAGGATATTCAGAAATCTGGAACCCTATATCAAATCAGATAATTTGCATTTGAAGGGCATATCATAATGCCACCATGATAAATGAATTTAAAGACTTTTCATTTTCTGAGGTAATAAATATTGGAAGTTTAATGGGCAAAAACATTTTACTCAATTTACTTTGTGATCCAGCATAATTAGAGTATATTAAACACATTATCATACTCTCCTACAGCTTTTTAATTCTTCAACACAATGTTACCACATGTAAATACAAAGTACATAATATGTACTTTGTATTAATATCTACATATTATGTAGATATTATTTTAGATTAGTTGGATATCTATTTTTACAATATATGTATATATCTACATGTAGTTTTTCATTGTTTTTCTTCTTATCATACACATGTATGTAAATTCTGCCATGGGCACTGTTTGTCATTTGCATCATATTTCAGCATTTCTATCTACAACGTACATGTAATGTACAGATATTAGTTTTTCTTACTGGGAGTACAGAATTGGATCAGTGTGTGTGCATTCAATTGGCTCACATATTTGAGTCATTTGATTGTTTTTTGTTACTCTTGTCCAGAACCTCTGATGGTGTACATTTCAAAAATGTGAAATTTTATTTGTAAGTGTACTGCTTTGTTGTAATGAAAGCAAGTGCACGTAAGTTCCAAATTTTCAATCAAATTAAACGCACAAGTTCCAAGTGAAGAGATGCGGATATGTACTCTTGGTTGTAATTAGAGGTCACAAGAAAAAAGATCACATGTGTGTATATATATATATGTATCACTCACTGTTGTATGTAAAAGACATGAACAGATGCAATATTCAGAGGTATTTTCCACACACTTTTCTATACACAATCAGTGTGAAGTTGCTCTTCCAGCTGTTACTTCTAACAAAATCACACTCTATAAGGGCATTGATTTACACTGCAAGTAAAAACCGTTGAGTTTGATTTTTCTCTGCAATGTAAATGGCCTTTTTTAATGCAAATTCATAAGAGATGTTACCCATATCTCCTAGTCACAAAGTATTGATTTTTTGAATAGCTATTGTATTTTGAAAGACGGAATGCATTTACATTAATAGTTGTTGCTTTATTGAACACGCCTCCAAATTTGTTGTGATTGTAGTAGAGGAATGCATGAATATTGAATACTTCATTTGTGAACTGGGCCCTGTTTCATAAAACTTGTTATAAAAATAATATGGATATTTATCTAGCGCCAGTACGCGCCAGGCTCTGATGCTCATGGCGCATTACACATATTACCCTGGTTATGGCCGAGCTGTCAAAGTAACTAGCGCTCAAGTATCAGGTACTCATTCACACCTGGGTGACAAATGTAGATTAACGTCTTGCCAAAGGACATTAGTGCCACGGTGGGACTTGAACCCCGTACCTTGTGATTTGCAGCCGGGTGACTTATCCACTAGACCATAACACCTCTACAGAACGAATGCTAAATTTCTATGCCAAATCTGCTCTCAGCCGATCAAATGCTGTAGCATATAACAGTTATTGTCACTTGATATAAGGCCATTTACACACCCCTAACACTATTTTGAAAAACCATTGATTTTTTTGACTAACATTTACACTATTGGACAAACCCATTAAAAGCCGATAAAGTTTTCTCATACCAATTTTTTTGGCATGTGTTACTGTTAGCACAGAAGCGAGGATAGTCACGTAAGCAAAAATCAGTATCTTACTGAAGTTTGTATGTACACTGCAAAAGTTGGTGAAACTCCGGTCTGCGTTAACAAAAACTAAACACTCCAGAGATGGATTTTTTTAGATGGATTTTTTCCTGTTGTTTAACAACTACCGACGAAACACCAGAATGTGATAAAAATCAATGATTTTTGGTTGCAAATAAATGCAGTTTATAGTAATAACATGTTTTAAAAATCGGAGCCCAGGACGATTGTGGGAAGAATAAACATCTATTTTCCCACGGGATAGATTCCTCCCTATTGACAGGTCACAGGTGTTGCCTGGTTCTATTGATGTAACACCTTGTTGGTTGTTTAATCAGAATATTGATTCTTTACCAGGATGTCCATATTCAGTTTGGAAGGTGATCTTTTGGGCTGAGTAATTAATAGTATCAAATTAATTAGAGGTTACTAATCACACACAGACAAAAAATTGTTTACTATGTAAGGGGTTCCATATGTTGCTTTACACATTCAAAATATGGACGGGTAATGCAAAGTTTTGGTATAGGGTCATGAATTTGGTTCAAATGAACATATTGGAAGCATATTATGCGATTTTACAATATTCAATGATCGCTGTCACGATTGAAATCAAGTTTAAAGTGGTGAAATTGTAAATAATAAACCCTTCATGTTGTATACCTCCCTCTCAAGTTTGATATTACTTTAGCTTCAAATCGATGTTTTTTGACTAAAATCAACCAATTTTCTATTCCCGTTTGGAAATTATATATCAGAGCTGCATATTCCAAGATTTTCATGGTCGAAGCTATCATTGTACGACCGTAGGCACTATTTGAAATTTATCGGGAGCACTGATAAATTTGATATTTTAATTTCTCGAAATCCTTAGCGTTTTAGAGCCCAATTTTTCAAAGTAGTTTATTCTATTAACAGGTTTCACAATGGTAAGGCAAATTTTAAATTTCAAAATCTCACCTTGTTGAAATATTACCAAAACTTTGTATTACCTTTAAG